TTTACACAAACGACTCCTTTCTCCTTGTTAATCTTCCCACTACATTCTTCTCCTTTTTATTTTGAGATGGACTTTTGCTCTTGTCGCCCAGGCTGGAGTCCAATGACATGATCTTGGCTCACTCCAACCTCCGCCTCCTGGGTTCAAGCAATTCTCCTGCCTCAGCCTCCCAAGTAGCTGGGACTACAGGTGCCCACCTCCATGCTCAGCTAACTTTTGCATTTTTAGTAGAGATGGGGGTTTCACCAGGTTAGTCAGTCTGGTCTTGAACTCCTGACCTTAAGTAATCCACCCGACTCGGCCTCTCAAGGTGTTGGGATTACAGGTGGCAGACAAAGCGCTGGCCTCCACTGTGTTTTAATGTCTCCCTTCAGAGCCATATGAGGGAAAGGTTCAACGTTCCTCAGGGGCCCCAACACATCAGCATCCCAGGGCTCTTCCCCTCTTCCACACTAAATAGAATTATATTAGCTTAAAACGATGCTATAAACTACTCTGCGCCACGGAGTTGCTGTTTTGATACTGTTCTCAGAGCCCAAGACAGAAGACCAGCTTCTCCTTGGTCCCACTGGGTACATCAGTAAATAAGTCCTAATATTTGGGGTACAAAATGGTTTTGCTTACGATGAGATCTTCTGTTTAGCAAGCAGGGCACAACATCAGTGTGTATTTCTTTCACTAAGTCTTTTAGGCCGAGCATGGTGGTTCACCCCAGTCATCTCAGCACTTTTTGGAGGTGGAGGAAGGAAGACTACTTGAGGCCAGGAGTTCAAGGCCAGCCTGGGCAACACAGTGAGAACCCTGCCTCCATACACCAAAAAAAAAAAAAAAAAGGTTTCATTAGCTTAGGAGGGAAGATTGCTTGAGCCCGGGAGTTTGAGGCTGTGATTGTCACACTGGACTCTAGCCTGGGCAGCAGAGCAAGACCTTTTCTAAATAAAAAAAAAGAAAGAAAGAAAAAGAAATAGGTATTCTTTCAATAAATAAAAATGTAGTTACTCCTATAGCTAGAAAAGAGAATGCTGAAATTTCCTTGTCTAAAATCTAAGCATTGGACTCATGCAATAGTTGAATGAACAGAACCAACAACCTGGGTGTAATTGTTTTCTGAGCTCTGTGTCTGGGCTATCAGCCAACAGGAAAATCTCTCCTAGGATTCAGTATTCCATAAAATGCCTCCACAGAATTACCTCATCATAAATCACCACATCCCAACTATATTTACGGGGGGAGGGGGAGGAACCCTGTACATGAAGGTAAGAATAAAAATTTCATTATAAAACTCTGCCTTTACCCAGCCACAAGTTTATGAAAAGTTCTTCTCATCATCAGTTTAAATAAGAGCTCTTTCTTTTTAATCTTTCAAAAAGTTTATTCATTTCTTTACAGTGGTGAGATAAAAAAAGAGGGGAAAAAAACCTACTCCATTATTCCTAGATTAAATTTTCATACTAAACAAAGTTCCTAAAATTAAAACTTGTAGACTATTTAGAAATGTGCTGCTATGGATAGCACTGCTCCAGAACTGTTCATCTGTTTTCATCAGCATCAATCATCAGTGGCTGCCTAGTTGGCCCCATTTTTTTTTTTTTTTTTTGAGATGGAGTTTCGCTCTTGTTGCCCAGGCTGGAGTGCAAAGGTATAGTCTTGGCTCACTGTAACCTCCACCTCCCAGGTTCAAGCAATTCTCCTGTCTCAGCCTCCCGAGTAGCTAGAATAACAGGTGCCCATCACGCTCAGCTAATTACTTTTAGTAGAGACAGGTTTCACCATGTTAGCCAGGCTGCTGTTGAACTCCTGATGTCAGGTGATCTGCCCACCTCAGCATGCCTCCCAATTCTTTTTTTTTTTTTTCTTAGAAGGAGTCTCACTCTTGTGATCCAGGCTGGAGTGCAATGGTGCAATCTTGGCTCACTGCAACCTCTGCCTCCTGCTGCCTCAGCCTCCTGAGTAGCTGGGATTACAAGTGCCTACCTATAAGCCCAGCTAATTTTTTTGTACTTTTAGTAGAGTCAGAGCTTCACCATGTTGGCCAGCCTGGTCTCGAATTCCTGACCTCCGGTGATCCACCAGCCTTGACCTCCAAAAGTGCCGGGATGACACGAGTGAGCCCCTGTGCCCAGCTGTCAGCCCCATTTTTAAGTGGGAGATGAGTTCAACAAAATGTCTCTAAAATGCCACGCTTAAAACTACAAGCAGAGTACAATTCTGAGTCCATGTTTATTAACTTGCTCAATACTCGATATTCACAGATTCGGCTGGGCACAAGCGTTCATGCCTGTAATCCCAGCACTCTGGGAGGCCAAGGTGAGTGGATTACTTGAGTCAGAAGTTTGAAACCAGTCTGGCCAACATGGTAAAACCCTGTCTCTAATAAAATTACAAGAAAAAACTAGCTGGGCCTGTAATCCCACCTACTGAGGCAGGAGAATCATTTGAACCTGGAAGGTGGAGATTGCAGTGAGCCAAGATCACACCACTGCTCTCCAGCCTGGGCAACAGAGCGAGACTCCATCTCAAAAAAAAAAAAAAAAAAAAATTCATAGTAATATTCTGAACACCGGGCATTCAAAACCAAGAAAACTAGTAGAGTTGAGCCAGATACATTTCAAATAAATTATAATCTGTCTACTTTTAGAATCATTTTGAAATACACAAACCATCCCTGATTTACAACCTTTTCACTTACTGTTTATCCACTTTATGATGGTGGAAAAGGGACATGCATTCAGTAGAAACTGTGCTTCGAATTTTGATCTTTTTAGCTAGCTACACACAGCACAAGGCTGTCTTGAGCCCCTGGGCAGCAGCGACAGCAAATCGCAGTTTCTGTCAGCCACGCAATCACGAGGCCAAACCGCCAACACACTGTAGTGTACTGTGCTGCCAGCACGTTTCGATGTTGCTTTGTGTTTTCACATCCCATCCTGTCTACAAATGCCCATTTTTTACTTACAATATTTTCAACTTCTGATGGGTTTATCTGCTCATAACCCCATGGTAAGTTGAGGAATATCTGTAATGCCTTGGTCTTTTTTTCCCCCAGAGAATCATTTCATTGAAATCTAATGTTTCAGAGAATACCTTTTTCAAAACTAAGGGTCCTAAAAGGAAACCTTATTAAAAATAAAGCACTTTCACTAACAAAATATATGTCACTGTCATGTAACCACGGGGCTCAAAGGGATTCCAGGAAAACAGCAAAGTAGTCTCCTATCTCCAGCCATGACTGTGCCAAAACTATCCTACATGAAAACTTTAATAAAACACAGCAAGCAAATATTACAGCAAAGCAGCATTCATTTACAAGAAACAAATGTTAGCACTGAGTTTCCTAATATAACTGGGATTCAGAACAGAGGAATGAATCTGCCCTGTCCACTATTTCGTTGTTGTTTTTTTAAGGAAAAAGTTATAAGAAGAAACTACACATATTTTTAAAATGTGGTTTGTTATTTAGTATACGCCTTCTGTTTGTTAAAAGGAGCCATTATGGCCACAGCTTTTTTTTTTTTTTGAGATGGAGTCTCAACTCTGTTGCCCAAGCTGGAGTGCAATGGCCCGATCTCGGCTCACTGCAAACTCCCAGGTTCAAGCAACACTCCTGCCTCAGCCTCCTGAGTAGCTAAGATTACAGGCTTGTGCCACCACACCTGGCTAATTTTTGAATTTTTTGTAGAAACAGGGTTTCACCATGTTGGTCAGGCTGGTCTCAAACTCCTGACCTCATGATCTTTCCCACTTGGGCTCCCAAAGTGCTAGAATTACAGGCATGAGCCACTGTGCTCAGCCAGGGCCACAGCTCTTAATGCAAGAGCTGAACTTTGGCTCTTTCCTTTGACTTTGATCCATTCCACCCTCTCAGGACCCCAGAGGTTTTTAATCTGATTGGTCAATTCTGGCAGGAGCTATATGTCCTAGAGAAGAGGGTCAGTATTGACCCGTCACTATGGCTCACTCTTTTATGGCACTGCCTGTCTTTCATGGAGCTGCCTACAAGGTTTCAAGATTTCAACCTCAAGTATGGTCCTGGTGGAGGTGAAGGAAGCAGAGGCTGCCAACTTTGATGAATGTTCTTTCCAGCTTTAGAGGGAAAATGTACCACTGTCCTCCAGCCCAGCTCAGCCCAGTCCTCTCCACTGCATGAGTATTTGGAGGCCAAACCCAGGAGGAATAAGGACAGGGGTCGGGGGGGCCGGGGGGCTCTCCTCTGCCTCCCTGTGCCATCGTCTCTTGCTCACCTGTGCTACTTAGGGACTTGCTGAGTGGGGCTGGCTGTGGTCAAGGCTGTCTCAGCCTCAGTGTCTTTTTACAAACTGGAAAAAGGAGCCCACTCTGGGTCGGCTCCTCCTGGACCCCTTGGCCGCTGGCTGCCCAGTTGCGGGCACTGCTTGGGCTGCCCCCACAGGCCTGGTGTGGTCTAGAGTACTCCTGGTACCTTGGCAAAATGCCATCAAAAGCAGGACCAATCCTAAAACTGTTTCTGCATCTAGTGGTGATTTTCATAGTGTTCTGAGATGACTTTGGGGCTTGGAGGGTGTGCTTTGTGGGTCAGTGTGAGGGGAAATCAGGGAGACACAGAGGCGGATCCTGTTCCCATTCCTCCTGGCAACCCGGCTCCCATCTGCATTTCATAGTGAGATTCCACAAAGATTTCTTTGGAAGAAAGGATCTTACTACTTTTTAAGAGACTGAAAACCACTATTTCTAGTTTACCTCACACACATACACATTATGTAATTGAGGTCACGACTGACCTGACTGCTAGAGACCAGCAGGGGGCACTTCACTGTGGGAGCAGACACCTCAACCGCCATCTTGGTTTCTCTTTGCCCAGCAGCCTGGTTCTGTCAGGGAATCCATATTCTAAGTTTCCGATCCTCTATATTAATGTTGACGACAGCCAACATTTCAGAAGCAGACCCTCTGAGGAAAAGGTTAACGTTTCTCCCAACGATCTGACCTCATCAGTGGCTGCACACCAATGTGAAGACACTTACCTGACAGGAAGTCATGGGAGCAGTTGAGAACAGTTGTTCCTGGTTGTATCCATGTAAGGGGAATCTCTTCTGGCTTAGGTGAGCCTAGGACCACAATGTCAGCTTCGTGAAGCTAAAAGGAGAAAGGAAAAAACACGCACATTTCAATCTGAGGCATAAAGATATAAGTAACTACTGATATCCAATGAGTTCAACACGATCCCAGAACCACGGCTTTGCTCCAAGCTGCTGACAAGGACAGAACTGCTTTGCTAACTTCTTTCAAGCCTCTATTAATACAAACAGAAAACAATTGTCATATCCTAGAAAGAAAAGAAAATAGGACTTAAAAAACTGTCTTCAGGGTAGTCATTCAGCATACATACTGCAGGGAGTATTACCATTTACATGTTTTCACCACTAACTATAACGTCAAGAAAAAGAATGGGGCAGCCAGGCACAGTGGCTCACACCTGTAATCCCAGCACTTAGGGAGGCTGAGGTGGATCACCTGAGTTCCGGGGTTCAAGACCAGCCTGGCCAACATGGGGAAACCCTGTCTCTACTAAAAATACAAAAATATGGCTGGGCACGGTGGCTCATACCTGTAATCCCAGCACTTAGGGAGGCGAGGCAGGCCGATCACCTGAGGTCAGGAGTTCAAGACCAGCCTGGCCAACATGTGAAACCCTGTCCCTACTAAAAATACAAAAATTATCCAGGCATGCTGGCGGGGGCCTGTAATCTCAGCTACTGGGAAGGCTGAGGCAAGAGAATCATAAGGGAGGCGGAGGTTGCAGTCAGCTGAGATCATATCATTGCACTCCAGCCTGGGCGACAGACTGAGACCCTGTCTCAAAAAAAAAAAAAAAAAAAAAGAGGAAAACAAGGGCAGAGCCCATGAGGTCTGGCCCACACAGTGGGCTTGCTGGCCTGTATAATGGCACCATCACAATGAGACCCCTATGGAATTGTAACTATACCCATGGAAGGACTGTCAGGAGCTTGAGAAATAATTTCACTTTCTCTGAGGCCCTGGTTAGTCTCTTGCCAAACCGTTCACTTTTTTGCCCTGAGAAAGTAGAAAGAATGCAGCAACTCCAGCAAAATGCATCGATCACATCCATCCCATCTGCATTTTGATTATCCGTTGCTGGAGGAAGAAGTCTGGTAGGAAAGTGACATTAAGACATAGGCGAAGAGCTTAGCTCTGACCTTAACCAAAGAATGGCCAGCTCCCCACCCCACTGAGCAACTGATGATTTCACACCGGACCCCTATGCGAAGGGAGGGGTGAATAGGAATACTAGATCTGCAGAGGAGAATAGCTACAATCGTACAGGTCAGCTAGGTGTTTTAAGTATTACCTCACTGAATATTCCAGATGACTGAGACTGGTGTTACTCTGCTCATTAAACAGACAAGGAAACTGTGATTCCCAGATACAAATAACTCTGTGTTATGTCCTGTGTCTCCTAGTGAACCCAGTCCTAGAGATCCAAGTGAACCCAGGCAGAAAGAGGACAACCACCGGTCCCTTTCCCTACTGTCTCTCCTGTGCACTTCAAAGTCCAGCAACTAACCACATAGTCTCCGGGGTCAAACAGACAGAGGGGCAGACTACGAAACACAAAAGCATCCCCGCTGCCACTGCCACCACCAAACCACCAAAAACACGTGCTAGAGACACCGTTATCCAGTCTCAGCTTAGACAAGCTGATCATTGAAGATCCTGTGGAAGAACCGGGATAGTTCCTCACCCTGAGGACTTTACACACTATGTGGGCAAGAGGGTGCATCAGCTGATGCTTTTAGAAATCTTGAGACAAGAGATGATAATGGAAGCAAATCCATGACAGTCCTACCTGGTTTATGAACAAAAAGGCCAAGATCAAGGGCAGCTCCAAATCCCCTGACAGAGGAAGGAGGAGCATGATAAAAATCGAAATTTGTGTCTTCTCATAGAGCTGACAAAGCCAACTTTTAAAAGCTAATGCCTTGGAAATATTTGATCAATTTGACCATGTGAGTAGGGAAAAGCGTATTAACACTAATCGATTATCCAGTAACAAGCGAAACTGCATTCCCTGCTTTTCAGCTCCTGACTGTATTATTATTCTGACTTTATTATGGAAGTAGAAGAGCACACTGCCATGGTGTCACACAGACTCTACTGTATTAATCACAGTAAAAAGAAAAGAGAAATCCCTACTAAAACTTTTGCCCAGGGCGGACACGTTGGCTAATACCACCATGCTGGGTAATCCCAGGACTTTGGGAGGCCAGGGTGGGAAGACTGCTTGAGCCCAGAAGCTTGAGAACAGTTTGGGCAACACAGGAAGACCCTGTCTCTACAAAAATAAAATAAAAATTAGCCAGGTGTGGTGAGGCGTTGCCTGTGGTCCTAGCTACTTAAGAGGTTGAGGTTGAAGGATCGCTTGAGCCCAGGTCACAGCTGCAGTGAGCTGTGATCACGCCACTGCACTCCAGCCTGGGTGACAGGGCAAGACCCTGTCTCGAAAACAAAACAAAACTAAAACCAAAAACCAAACACATTTGCCTAAATAACCATTCTCTGTGCCACAGGGCCAAACTACCACTAATCCTCCCTAAGAACTTTGCAGCCAAATGAGAATCGCCTGAACCCAGGAGGCGGAGGTTGCAGTGAGCCAAGATCATGCCATTACACTCCAGCCTGGGCAATGGAGTGACTCTGTCTAAAAAAAAAAAAAATTTGCAGCCAATATCACCAGCAATCTAATCCCTTAAAGCCACCTATAATCTCTACTGATCTAAAATACAGCTAGCATTCCAGGTGATAGTATATATGGGGGAAAAGAGAGTGCTCGTGGAAAAAAGATTTTAAACATCCGTATTTAAAAAAATTGTATTTCTTCATTTACACATACTACTGTCAAAAATTCAGCCACAGCAATCCTCAAGAGAAATACAAAGGTTTAAGCTTTGTTGCAGATCTGCAGATAAGAAACGCCATTTTGCTAGATTTTCCGGCACAAAAGCAGCAAAACCAGAACATGTTAAAACAACGGTAAAAAGGAGGTTAATGTGAATAAGACTGAAATGTTCATTTTGGAGGAAGCCAAGGATCACAGGTTCACACAAGTCCCCTAAGAACACTTAGTTTCCTACACGTGGTGTCTTTGATACAACCTGTTCTTTTCATTACCTATAAATCTTGGAAATCTCATTCTGAGCCCTCAGCTCCATACCTACACACAGCTCTAATGTGGGCTTGCTCATCAGCGACTGGGGAACAGCTCATTCCACGGAGAAAAGACAAACGCTCCTCCCTTAGCAGTGATTGCATAGTAGATGTTAATTCTTTCTGGGAAGGAAAAGTGCTAGATGCTTAAATCAGTAAATAACCCACCAAGGACAAGGGAAGATTTTAATGAGCTAAAATTCAAGGAGAATTATTGTCTCACTCGCTGTTCCTACTTTCCACCTCCCCAATGGGAAAGACCCTGGCCAAAGCTTGGCTTGAAACTCTACCTCATAACAAAATATTGCTTTCTCTGCTGAGACTTGAGCGGAGCAGCTTAAAGCAACCACCCCAACTCCCCAGGCAGAGAACCGAATGTTAAAACAATAGTAAGACGCAGATATGCAGAAACTTAACGGGGAGCGTGTGGGGGTGCAGTAGTTTAGATAACTGAAGATAAATTTTCTTGAAGTCATTAATATTTAAGCTAGAGGGACAAGCATCTGAAGATAAAGAGATGTGGGAACGGAGGACAGACGGGATTTGGAAAGTTATATGGAATATCATAATTTTGTATTTAGCAAATAAAATGCATTAAAAATTTTAAAACGAAATACAGCCCTGCCCTCTTAACTAGAAAACAGTATGTATCTCCTGCTATCAATGTGCTTTGAAACAGTTCATATCACATGAGAATCTCACATATGGGATCTGTATATACACTTAAAATCCAGAATAGGTAAAAAAAAGATATTTTCTAAAGAAACATCACTTTCTTTAGATCACTTGAGACCTATGAAAACTGTTTCTATGTCCTTTAAACATTCCCAGCACACTTCAGAAAATCAAGTTCAAAAAAAAGAAAGAAAACAATGTTCAAAATGATCAACATTGCGGTGGCTCAAGCCTGTAATCCCAGCACTTTGGGAGGCCGAGGCGGGTGGATCACGAGGTCAAGAGATCGAGACCATCCTGGTCAACATGGTGAAACCCCGTCTCTACTAAAAATACAAAAAATTAGCTGGGCATGGTGGCGCATGCCTGTAATCCCAGCTACTCAGGAGGCTGAGGCAGGAGAATTGCCTGAACCCAGGAGGCGGAGGTTGCGGTGAGCCGAGATTGCACTATTGCACTCCAGCCTGGGTAACAAGAGCGAAACTCCATCTCAAAAACAAAACAAAACAAAACAAAACAACAAACAAACAAACAAAAATTAACAGGTAGGTGATTTGTCCAGCAAGGATGTGCTTCTGAAATTACAATAACTAAAGACATTGGGGCCAGGCATGGTGGCTCACGCCTGTAATCCCAACACTTGGAGAGGCTGAGGCGGGCGGATCACCTGAGGTCAGGAGTTTGAGACCAGCTTGACCAACATGGAGAAACCCCGTCTCTACTAAAAATACAAAAAATTAGCCGGGCAGGGTGGCGTATGCCTGTAATCCCAGCTACTCGGGAGGCTGAGGCTGGAGAATCACTTGAACCTGAGAGGCGGAGGTTGCAGTGAGCCAAGATTGCACCATTGCACTCCAGCGCAAGAGCAAAATTTCATTCTTTTTAGAAAAAAAAAGACACTGGCATTCTCAACTAGTGCCTGAGTGTGGCGCACTGTGGTCAGACACAGAGAACACAGTTTGGTCTGGAGGGCAGGGAGGGGCTCTCCACACCGAGGTGGTCCCTTGCTTGATTTTCACTTTCAACAAACTGGGACACACTGTAGTTTATGTGTGCCCAGGTAAGTGGCTTTATGGGTCACATTATGGGCAGATTCTTCACGAGGCTTTATCTATTTATTTTTGGAGACAGGGTCTCAACTCTGTCGCCTAGGCTGCAGTGCAGTGGCATGATGTCAGCTCACTGCAGCCTTGACTCCTGGGCTCTAGCGATCCTCCCACCTCAGCCTCCCAAGG